GCACGCCTTTAATCCCAGCACTCCCAGAGGCAGGCAGATCTCTCTGAGTTCAAGGTCAGCCTGGTCTACATAGTGAGTAGTGAGTTCCAGGACAGCTGGGGGCTACAAGGAGACCCTGTGTCAAAAAAGACCCCCCCCCCAAAAAAGACCCTGTGTCAAAAAAGACCAAAAAGTATTTGTAAGTGGAGAGAGGCCTGACATGTCATCTGATCCTGGCAAACACATCTAGAGGGGCTGGAAAGATGGTTCAGTGGTTAAGAGCACTGGCTGCCCTTGCAGAGAATCTGGGTTCAGTTCCCAGCACTGACATGGCAGTTAACAACCATCTGTAACTCCAGTTCCAGGGGATCCAATACCCTCTTTTGGCCTCCATGGGCAATGCACACACTTGGCTCACTTACATACATGCAGGCAAAACACTTATACACATCAAATTTAAAAATAATTTTTAAAAAAGGTAGATCTGAAAGTTTGTGACAGTAATCCAAACACTCCTAATAGTAGGATGGGAGGGGGACAGGAGAATCACCTGGAAGCTTGTGGTCCAGCTAGCCTGAGGTATACAACACAGGGGCAGAAACAAGATATATTGCCTCAAACAAGATGGAAGGTAAGAACTGACTCCAGAAAGTTGTCCTCTGACCTCTACACTTATACCATGGCACATGCATGCTCACACTTCACACACACACACACACACATATACACACACACACTACAATTGCTCACATAAAGAACTCAGTTTAAATGAAGTTCAATTATAATCTGGAAGCATTTGTTTATGTATTATGGAGTGGCCTAAGGGTTGTTTATTAAGCAAGGGTGTTTTACTTTCACTCTTCTAAAATTTGTGTTCATTGAATAGTCATCAAGCATTGGATGGAGAGTATAACATAGTGATATTCATCTTGGATTTAATTTAGTAGCTTTAGGACACATCTGTTACTGGACACTGTATCTTTATTAACATAAAATGGTTTTTTTCTTTTCTAAAGGCATCATTGCCCCTGGTGGGCAGGAGCACCATGGTGAACCCTCTCTACCTGGAGACCCAGTGCTTTCAACATGCCCTTCTGGTGTTTCACAAACATTTTTGGTAACTAGAATGACTCTTACTCAGCAGGTGACACTGGCTTCTGCATGCAGTTCTGAATGTTTGGCAAAGGGAAGAACCTTATTGAATGTGCATCTTAACATGTGAGTTTTAAATTGAATTGTGCAAATCTCAGCGCTACTATCTTCCTCTTGGAGGAAAGCCATCAAAAATGTTAAGACCAGATGAAAGGAATAATATGCAATTGAAATCAACACACTTTTACTGCTTGGGGAAAGGCCCAGGGTCTGGGGCTGGAGAATGAGAGAAACAATACACAAAGTGGTCATTACCAAGTACTTATTTTATACTTGGTGTTACCCTTGCATGCACTGTCTTGTTTAACACCCATGGCACTGAAACTCACTGGGCTCTGCCACACTAAGCCTTCTCACCTAGGCCAGGCTTCTTCCTGGTCTTCCTTGTACATACCTGCCCCACTCCCTTAGAGGGAAAGAGGGAAGGAAAGATGGGAAGAAGAGAAGATAGGCAGCAGAAAGAAGGAAGACTCCAACTGGATTTAAAGGTCTGGCTTGGTTCCAGTGGAAGGACGCCTAAGCAACAACACATTTACATTTGATCAGAAATTCTCTTCACAGGCTTCCTAGCAGGAGCTGATCTTCTTGAATGGATACTTTGATAAATCTGTCATGATTTTCAGTTCATTAGCAAAATTCATTTCCGTTTTCATCACTATCTTAGTTTTGCTCCAACAAACGCCTTTTTCCTCTTAAGATCACCAACGGGGAAGTGTGAACCGCCGCCAAGAATTATATTGTAATTAAAGCAGTACCAGGGAACTTGAGCCAAAGACAGTTCTAAATCATTTTATATATCCAAAAGTAAAAATGTAATGAAATGGTTTTTAAACAGAAAAGCAGAGGTATAGTGAAATATTTTAGTTATTAAAAAAAAAAACAAAACCAAGATATCCTTCAAGCCCTAACACCCATAATAAATGGTGCTACTTCTAGATACAAAGTCAGTTCTCTCCATCTCATTGGAAATGACCCCTCCCTTCTGGGCAGGCTCTGTCTTCCTGGGAAGATGGCAAGCACAACTGCCTGGGAGCCTACATCTGACCACCCTGGGAAGCATGGCCTCCCAGTGTCCTCCTGACACAAATCGGAGGTTTCCTGCAGGATGCTCTTCCCTGGAATTTCCAAGAATTTCTGGGCTACCTATTTCCTTAGAAGACCTGAGGCAAAATCTGCTTCAGCTAAGAGGAACCAGACCACAGATTCTTTAGAAGGAAATCTTCAACATTTGGCAATTTCCATTAGTTCACCAGAGTGCTAAATTTTCAGGAAAGAGCTCCCATGCTGGTGACTGGCACGTGTAAATTTGTACCTAATAATGAGTGATAGAGATGTTTCTTTCGGGCTGTGGGGCCTCTGTCCCTGTCCCTCCTCCCTTGCGTCAGGCTGCTGTTAGCAGGGATTTGCCTGTGTTCAGTCCAAAGACCAGATGGTAATTCTTGCCCATCAGGCCATGTCCTTGAATTCCCAGGTGCTGCAAAGAAAACAACTGCCTGCCTCTTGGCAGGAACTCCAGGGCCCAGTGGAATAAAACTGGTTAGCTGCTTTCCCTTCCCTTTAATCAGTCCTGTGCTCTCTGCCGAAACCACATGCCACGTCCTTTGGTCCAGCTCATTTGAAGAAGCACGGAAGACTTTGAACTGCTGGGGCCTGGCATTTGAACTTCAGTTCTTTCATCTCTCCCCTCAGTATGTGCTAGACACAAGCACTGTTTTTGCTCATTCATCCTGCTGACCAAGTAACATGCCTGGGGAAAGCTTTTAAGAGTGTAGGCTATACTTCATGCTCTTGTTGGATGCTTGCTGAAGAAACTAAGAGAGATCCGGGCAAGTCCTCTCCCGTAGACCAGAGAAGGGATAATCCTTGCCATCTCCATTGACCAGTCTATAGCTGAGGTCAGGTATCAGTCCTGTGGATATACAGATGCCGCTGTGGCTTGCCAGATCTCCTCAGTGAGCGTACTGTTCATTTATCCTTATGCTTGTCCTATCCCGAGCAAACTGTGAAATGACATGCATTTCTTCCTTGGAAGATTGACAGGTCATTTTAAAAGAAATGTCACATATACCCAAAAAGGTGCAAGTTCAAGTCAGAATTTCTGATTGGCTCAATTCTTTTCTTCTACACCTAGCACAAGGATATTAAGTATTCAAGTTTCTCCTTCGAAAATGATGAAAGCTATTTAGAGGAAAACACCTTTACATCAAGATCCCATCGAATTTAAGAAAATTACACTAATAGCTCCTTCTTTCTAAATATGAAGACTTAACAGCATAGAAATGCTATGAGGATGAGATTCTCAAATAACCAGATTCAAGTGTAGCAAAACAGTTGTGAGGAAAATCTGGTCTCTGTTTCTCTGTTGACTGAGAGACATGCATGCTGGGTTTGATTTTCAGACAGGGAATACATGGCTTCAGGAAGTCACTGTGGTACTGTTCATGTGCATGCTGAGCACATGATAGAATATGAGGGAAAGCCAACTTTTCAAAGGCAATGGTTCTCTAACATCAGAGTGTATCAACCAGGCTTCCCCAGAGGGCTTTAATCACAAAATTCTGGGTCTCATTTTCCTACCTTGCAAGTTTCAGTAGGCCCTGATTACTGTGAGACGGATATCTGTCAACACAGCTGGGCAGAGTTCTGTCACACACAATTGTCTTCTGTTTTGGTGCCAGTCAACATTCCAAAGAGAATTGTTTATAGTCCACTGTCTGTTCTGGAACCCCAGTGACTTGGTCTAAGACCACTGGCCCATGTTCTCCAGGATCACTGGGTACTCCCAAAAAACCATTTACTATTTCCCAAAACTGCCTACAGTCCCCACTCTGCCCCTTCTCTAGGGAAAAAGCATACAAGCTCAGGATCAAGTTGGACTGCAGAGTGACCACACTATGAGTGACCACACTTTGTGTTTGCCTTTGTATACCCCATAAACATGTGTATCTTCTCTTCTGTGGTCTTCCTGTCATCAGTTCATCTCAGTGAACCTTCAGAGGACAAGGGGTGGGGGGAGAGTCTTTCTTTTTCTCCCTATGCTTCCACCAACAAATTAGCCAATATCCTCTATTTTCAGTCACCTGCAATCTTTCTGTTAAAAAGCCTGGGGCAGGTGTATGCTTTATTCCCTGGTACACACAGGGAGACAGATGAAATTGCATTTCTGTAATTTCCTTTTCTGACAATGACGGTGACTGTGGGTCTTCCCAGGTCAGTTTGACAACATTCTTTCCCCCACATAAACTGTCTCCTTTGGTGCTTCTCATCCGACCGAACCTGTTTAACACTGTGAAAGAACTTACCATTTGAACAGTTTTGATCAGCATCTTAGGTAAGACAAATCACACAAAGCAGACTTCTTTCCAAGCTTCACTCTTAAATCAGGGAGTGATACCCCTCGCTTGTAACCAAGTAGGGCCCCCTCTTGATGAGAGGTTACATGCACTAAAATTTATTGGGGGAAAAAGTTTAATTTTCTAGCACACTGGCTCGGAGGCTAGAAAGCTTCTTTAGGGATTAAACGATTCCTAAGTAAGAAGCACATGGACTGAAACCAAATTTCATCTGTAATTCAGCATCAGCTGTGGCTGCCATATTCTGGAAAAGGGTTTTTATGGGAACAGGCAAAAAGCCCTGAAGTATAACGGCCCCAGATCTACATATGGAGAAACAACTGGAGCAATTTAAATCACAGTACTCCTAAGATGGAGTTTAAAGTTCTTCTAATAAAATGTAGTTACTCAAACATGGAAGTTTAGCATAACTCAAATAAAAGTGAGTTATGTGGCCATTTCCCAGTACTCATCCTCCATCTAAGATTTGGGGCTCATTAAAATACCTCCTGGAGACCTGGCGGTTATCGGCATTACCTGACTCATCGACTCTCATTTTTTTAGTTGGACTGTCACAGGTCTCGTCATCAGACATTTCCATTTCTTCCTCTCGGCGGATGCCCATGAGCTGCTCACTTTGAGCATTTCGGAGCTCCTGAAAGCACAGGACATGTGAACGTCAGTCATGGCCACACGCTATCACACCTTCTCCCCATGGTCTCTGGATATGTTATTAATGATCCATCAATATTTAGACTCCAAAGCTTTCACCCAAACATTACCTCACATATCTAGAATGAAGTTGGGGCGGGGGTAGAAGAATGAAGTTGCGGGGGTGGGGTGTAGAAGAAAGGCAGAAGGCTTTGGTGGTAGAATTGGGCAAAATCCCTGCTCATCAATGACTACTTAAGGGTTCTTTGGTAAATTATTTTATCTCTCTTGAGTCTCAGTTTCTTCATTCATAAAAAAGGGGGGAATCATCTGCCTAGCAGAAAGATTACATACAAATGCCCGTTTTGTAGCTGGCACACAGGAGCACCAGTACCTACTGCTAAGAACATGAGCAATGGAATGAATGCTAAGGAGGTCAAGTTCAGCACTGGTCCTGGTGGAGCTTTAGGACCACTTCTTCAGTTGTGTACTGGATCATGTGGTACTGATGGTTTGTAGGACGAAATGCACGCTAAAGACTCTGTGCACATGCTTGGTGTATGCATGAATGTGTACATGTCCATAATGTGCATGTGAGGCTAGAGTTGAAGCGGGTGTCTTCTGTTGTTCATCACCTTATTTTTTGAGACGGGGTCTCACTGAACTTGGAGCTCACTGATTCAATTAGAGTGGCCAGACAGCAAGCCCCTGGGATCTATCTCATTTCATCTCTTCAGCACTGGAATTACAGGTGTGACCCAATGTAGTTTTTTTTTATGTGGGTGCTGGGATCTGAACTCAGAACCTCATTTGTTTACAGACTGAGCCACTTCCCTAGCCCTGCACTTCTTAGTCTTTAGGTTAGGCAATTGCTGTGTATGTACCTGTATGTGATTATCTAAATACACTATTCTGATAGCTGTGGTTTAAAATTCAAGGTGGTGAAAAAAATAAATACAAAGAAGTCTTTTTTTTTAAATTTTTTAGTCCCATTATTGTGTGCATAGGGCTATAGTTTTATGGTAATGGCGGTTTTAACATCACTTTCACAGACATCTTAGGACATTTTCCTTTTTCATTGACTAGAGCAGTGAGTGGCTGCAATCCAGTCATGAAATTTCATCGAGTCTCTGTCTACTTACCATAAAAAGGGGATAATATTACTACAAGGCTGTTTGGATGAAACAGTATATGAGAAAACCCATTGTAAAAATGTAAAGAATTACACAATACATTCCTTACTACTATGTCTAAAAGCAAGACATTGTAATTGTTTACACCAAATAGTTATATCACTATTTTATATAAAGGTGTGTATTATATATTAGCAAATCCTATTCACTTTGTTCTCAAAAATAATTATAACAGAGAAAGGATGCCATTATTCTGTTTCCTTCTTTTAAATAGAAGCCTCTAATTAAAATTTCAATATTTAAAATAATTTTACTTTATAATAAATCTATGAGTAACAATGACACTAAATGATTCTGCCAATTTACTAATGGCATGACTCTGACCATGGTTCTGCTGCCCAGAACCATCTGTCAATGGATGTGTACCTGCCACCTGGGCTTTGGAGATCTTTCTTTGGCTCACAGATTTTAGCTACAATGTGATGGGAAGGAAAATACTTATTGTCAACACTATTCAAAGGGCCACTTCTGTACCCTGGGAGTCACCCTATGGAGGACAGGGAAACAGGAAGACAGAAAGTGCCATGAAGAAAAAGGTAGGGACTCTGCCTTAACACTATCAGGTCTTGGAGATGCATGTTACACATGATTAGTGGGCAAATTTCTAGGGGACAGACAACTAATTTTTCTCTTAACAAAGAGTCCAATTCCTAAAGAGTGGCTTGACAATACTTGAAATAAGGAGAAGCCAGATGGAAGGAATAAACAAGGGTGAAAGGGCTGTTGCTTAGTTTTGCAATTAATGACAAACCGTCATATGACAGTTGTTATTGTGGGGAAGGTGGCAGAAAGGGAAAAGGTTGGAGGGAGGAAAACCTAGGGTGTTTCCACAGGGTGTCTATGGTTCAGCAGTAAATCAGTGGAACCAGCTAATCCATCTGTAGAGGTGTTGCAGATAATTAACAGATGCTGTACATGGGAATGCGGAAAAAACCAAGCCAATTATCAAGCATCTATGCAACTGAGAAATCATGTACAATGTTATATTACCAACTGGTATTTAATCAATTAAGAAACATGGATGAGAGAAAACAAAAGGTAATTTAGAGTTCCATTTCCTAAAGTATTCCAAAAGATGTGGTGGAGATGGCAGGAAGGTACAAAGATCCTTTTAGGGAAGACCTTTGAGACCAAAGAAAGCAAGCAGGCTTCTTCAGACCTGGGAAGGAAAGCTGTCACATCCAGCTCTGGACAGCACCAGTGGTGGGACAGGGATAAGGGAAGGTGGGAGATGGAGTGGGACCAGGCAGGAAGCATGGCAGAGACCAGTATCTGATGTCTGCTGACACACATGAAGAATGACCTTTTCATGCCCATGTGTTTTCAATATTGTGTCACCTGGGTTGTTTCTTGAAATTTTTTAAGTTATGCTTCATTTTTATATGAATTTTTAAAAATTCATAGGTTTATCACTCCCAAATCTGAATCACAGTTTATGAATTCCAATTTGAGTTTTTATAACCCTCAATGTTTTTATGGCATCCAATGCAGAAGGCTCTTTTTTGCCTTCCTGAAAATCAACTTTGACCTGGGTCTCATTTCAGTGTCCGAGAAAGCATCAGCTACACACCCTTCCTTTGTATGGGGGCCCCTGAAAAATTAAAGAGAAATCCTACCTCCTTACAATCCTGGAGAATGGAACAGAACTGTATCAGTCACCAGCCACCTTCCTAGGCACTAGTGAACACAACTTAAAAAAATGTCCTTAACAATAATTGCACTAGCATTTTAAGTGTCCCATTATTGTGAAGTTATTCAGTATTCACCATAATAACAGTGACAATAAAGAATCTCTTTAGTATTCATGTGGATATTATATCTAGTACCGTTGGTATTCAACTGTAATTTAGCATTAGTTAATGGGCACTTAAAATGCTACCCAGATGATTTATGTCATAGTACTTTGTGGCTCCTCAAACTCTTTATAAAACACTTATTTTGCAAGTGTGAGCCAAAATCATTAAATAAACCTTACCTTCTATAAGTTTGTGATTTTGAAAGAGGGGAGTATCTTTTAGAGAACTTTAATATTAACATGCTAGAAATGAAGAGGCATCCAAATGAAAAACAGTCTCTCGTTGTAAAAAAAAAAAAAAGAAGCAAAGGAAGACAGTATACTTACTTTTAAATTACAGGTTCAAAGCGTATACTACACTGTGGAGTCAAAAATAACAGCTGGATGACCAATGACTAATGACGCGGTTTGGTCTGTCTAGGTCGCAAGGAAGGTCAAGCTCTGGACGCTTTCCTTGGCAGCAGATACTCACACGTCACACATGCATTGATTCTGTGGACTCAGCTAGCCTGGACATTTACACTCTTTACGGGATTTGCTCTAGGGAGAGAGGTGACAGTGCCTCATGGCCAGCCCAGGGGAATAAAACATGGCTAATGACCAGAAGACATGGAGAGGAAGGCAGACTCATGATTTCAAGTCCAAGGAGCAAACTGTCACCACATAGAACACTGAGGAAAAATTCTGAAAAAAAAAAACAAAACAAAAAAAAAACACCCCTAGATTTCTAAATTAGCTTATACCTATTTTTTTCCCAATCTAATTTTAGGCAAAGCATCTTGGTTTATTTCTAAGTTCTTTACTATGAATGGAGAAAGATTCTTTTCTCCCTTGCAGGGGAGGAAAAAAAATGTTCTAAGTGTAAAGCCAGCTGCTTCTCTGGACAAGAAATGAATTGGAGCTGGAATTGGAGGGGACAATGAGACAGGACAATGGCAGGAGGACCGCCCACTGTAACAGAACCATAATGGCTGCAGTCACACTATTCTCTGCCAATCCAGCTGTGTGATGGTGGTTAGAAAGTAATCATAAAATCACCAACCTCAGAATGCTTTCGCCAAATGTCTATGTTCTTGCGCTGAGCTTTCGAGAAATGGTCCCAAGCTTTTTGTCTGGTAGAAGCGTTGAAAACGGCCACAATCTGCTCAACTTTGGTGAACAAGGAAGTCAAACAAGACAAGTAGTTTATGCTGTGATCACTATAGGGAGGCAAAGCAAAGACACTAGGAGTCTATGGATGATGTCATGATAAAAGCAACATCATCAATATCCATCCCATCTGTGCCTTTTTGTACTTACATTTTAGCAAGGTTGGGGATGTCTCCCTTCAAGTCTGTCTCCATAACTTTGGGTTAAAACAAATTCTAAATAGGATGGGGGAAAAGGTCATGGGCATCTAGCTCCAAGCATTCTTTAGCTATTGTTTATAAATGTGATTTTGGTAGGTTATATACCTAGATCTATAGACACATAGACCCTAAAGGTGAAGCCCAAAATCTAAACATGCCTCATTTCTTCTTTGATCTCCATCTCATGGACTCCTCTGAAGTCATTACTGGGTCCAGGGTTCAAAAGTGGGGCCATGAATAGTTGTGTCGTATCTTCTTCTGGCTCAAGAACCATTTTCATGTTTTTTTTCTCCCTCCCCCTCTTGCAAGAACTAAAACCAGCCCTCCAGTCCTCTGGCAGGTAAGGGAGCTGGTACCTCCATGTGAAGAGCAGCAGTGCTGGCATGCAGGTCAGATGTCAGCCACATATGGTGGCCTCCATAGTTTATCATGACCCCTCCCTTCTGGTATTCCACAATCACGTCCATAACCTTCCGTCTCCCTCTGGCTCTCAAGGCTCTCAATCCACTTGCTGCTTTATTCTACCACCTTGACTTCACTGAGCTGTTACTTCTAGGCATAGTGCTATTGGAATGATAAACATTGAGGGGTTATTTTAGAGAAAGGGATAGGCTCTTAGGAGGTGGGTCTTAGGAGGGGGCACAACCAACTATAGACTGATCTTGTTTAAGATCTTGCTTAACAATTGTTGATCTGGTAAGCATGGATTAAAGAAACTAGAACTCTGAATTGATTGCATAATTAAACCTGATTTTCTAAATATTGTGCTAGGTTCTTATGGATGCTAACACCCTATCACATAAATCTTTCCTAAGTGATTCCCAAGGCTCTATTATAAAAAGAGATATCAATTCTCTGCCAGATCTGGTGTTCAAAGAATATCACAGACAGAACAATACCTACAGAAAAACCCTCCATGCCATAGTTTTAAAAATTAGCACATGTAGTAAGTATATGATGGACTAGAGGGGATGTACATTCCACTCCTTACAACACTGTGAATATCCTACAATGTTAATTAACATTTCTTGGTCCTTGTCTACAGGTATTTTTCACACAGAACTTTTGTGTTTACTGTTTTGTGCCTCAGAAGAACCTCACTTGTAAAGCTCCTTATTTAGAAAACCCTGTCATCAAGTTATAGTATGAATTTGTTTCATTCTGTTCTAATGTGAGGATTTTCTATCAGTTTGGCACATTCCCTGTGCTTCTGTGTCATCCATTCCCTGCTTCACCTGGAGGAATTAGCATTAAGATGAATTACTTTGAGCTACAACCAGTGCTGATCTTCATTTAACCTTTACCCTCAGTACACAGCATGGTTCAACTGCCCAGGCTTTCTGCTTGCTTTGTCTGTATGCAGGCTGAGATCACTGTGATTCTGGCTGCCTCTTGCAGGTACAACCCTGAGCAGTCAGCAGTCAGCCCTGATAAAGTTGTTTGGAAGAACTGGTGACCATGAGGCTCTATGGCTTTAGTTGCAAAGCTCTATGATTGGCATCATTTAGAAGAGGAAGAGCGATGATGCCCAGGGGTGAATTATTTGGGAAGTGATAATCAGAATTCTGCTATTGGTTAGGGAAGATTCTTAATAAAGAAGATGCGGTAAATGATGTACATTCAGAAATGGAGGAGGCTGTATGAAGGTAAGAAAGACCACTAATACACATGGAGGGAACAGAGGAAAAACACTTAGAAGTGAGACCCTGGCCTACTACAGTACAGGTTAAGGGTAAAAACCAAATATAGTCAGGCATCTGTTCAGAGATATTTGCAGATTGAGGCTATGTGGATCAGTTAATTAAAGCACTTGATTACCACATTTCAGGGCAACAGTTCATTCATTCATTCAACAAACATCTGGGTTTTTATCAAGTATGAGGGAGTAGATTACTAGAAATATACAATGCAGGTATGTTTCTTGCTTTTGATGATGTCTATGTCTTGGAGATAAAAGGAAAGCAGACAATTAGTACAAGAGGTATGGATGACCGACCCCTTTGGGGAAAGCACAGAGTAGATCTACGAGTAACTAAGTAGGTAGATGGAATAGGGCTCATGCTGTGAAGGTGACATTTTGACAGACCTTAGCTGGTGACTCATCGCTTGCTCAGCAGAGAGGTCAGGGTGGTCCTTAGAACGCTGGAGTTGTGAAAAGACTTTACATGAAAGTAGCTGGTGGGGAGGAGGCTAAGGCCAGGTAAGAAGAAATCAGGAAGGGTCAAGTGTGCTGCTAATCCAGGTTGGGCACTTGCTGCTGTAGGTCAGGAGACACATCCCAGTGTGATCAGTGTGGAAGATATGAAGAAGGCTTGAATTAAAACAGAGGCTCTGGAATGAGGGTGGAGTGGGCAGCCATATAACAGGAAGCTGCGACAGGACAAGGGAAGGGACTTTGCAGACGCTGGGAGGTAGAAGGAAGTCCAGGATGATTCAAGCTTGGGAGAAACATCAGAAATGCCAAAGGCACAGATGGAGGTCTGAGAGAAAAGATAGAATTGGCTTTGGGATATATTGAGCTTGAGAGTGGCTGAAGGCCACCCAAATGCAGCTGAAATATGAATCCGAGTTCAGAAGAAGTCAGAATTCTAAGGCCTAGTCCTGAAATCTTCTGGGTACACTCTCAATTCCTTTTAGTGGCATTCTTTCTGATAGAAGAATTCAAAGTCAAACTGGATAGAATTAAGTTGGATTCTTTTCTTATGAGGCTTTACACCACCCCCGACCCCATACTCACAAACAAAAAATGAAAACAAAATCCAGAAAAGTGAAAATGGTGCAACTCAGCTTAGGTTTGAAAAACCCTCTCACAGCATTTTGCATACACAGTTCACTTTCCCCATCTCTGCACTGACTCTGCCGAGCCAGACATTTGTCTTACAAATCAAACTTCTCCAGCTCATAAAAGAGCTCTGCAAAAGAGTGGGGGTGAACACAAATTCATCAGCGTGGGAAAGCCACTAGAAAGACTTCGTCCCAGTGAGTGTGATGAAAATACAGCATGACTTTAAAACCATAAGTCAGGATGATGCCAGTCCTAATGACACAGGTAAAGATCTTATGCTTTTCATTGTCTCTGTGGCACCCCCACCAAAAGCCCATGCCTTACACTACCTGCTTACTACGTCTCTGAAACAACTCATGCCACTCATTCTGTTTAGAATGATGCTATGAGTAATTACTAACTAAAGGTTTCAAAAGCTCTATTCTCAGAGAAAGGAATAGAGAGTAAGATGGCATTGACATTTATCCAAGAAAGCAGCATACAGAATTGACGCTGTAGGCAGAACATATTCAGATCAGCACACTACCCAGTGCCTTCACCATAGTGGGCTACAGGGCTGGAGGGCCCCACAGGATTCTGTATCAGGTAAGAAGCTTAGATCCTGCACTATGATTGTTTCTTACTTATTCAAAGAAAGCATCTCTTAACACTTTTGGAAGTATTACCAACAGAGCTTTGGGTCAGAAAATATAATTCTGCCATTCACAGCATGCAAATCTCCCTCATCTCCATTCCCAGAGTTTTGTCTAAATTAGAGTTTTTGAGGATCATGAGAAAACCCATGAATGTTAGACTTAAATGCTACCTTGGAGAATGCCTCCTATGCCCAGCAGGTCCAAATGAACAGAAGACAAGGACATACAGCTGTAATGAAACTGCTAATCAATTTGTAAGTCCCTACTCAGGATTATGCACTAGGTTATGCATGTGGACATGTGGACATATTCAGACATACAGCATACACACAGACTTACATATTCCTCAAAGTTAAAAAAAATTTCCCTTGAGACTCAGTCTCCTTTAAGGGAGAGACTCTTGGCAGGTTGACTAGGCTCCAGTGGATGAAGCCACACTGAACAGTATTTGGGGACACAGATTTGACACTACAGACAACTATATACACATATATATATATATAGATTATATACATATATATATGGATATATAAATACACACACACACACACACACACACACACACATATATATATATATAATATGAAATGTGCAAAAATTCAATTATAAAAGTAAAAATACTCCTAACACTAAATAGTTTATTAACTTCTTTCGCACTTTTTTCCATCCAAGAAAAGTTTAAGCATTTTCTAGGTATAAGTATTGAGCACATTTGGTTTTTTGATACAGTAACTTTTTAACTATGTTAAGCATTTGTCTCCAGTCTTCTCAGAGAAGGGAGGCTTAGAACAGGATCAGCATTTACATGGAAACAGTGCATTTAAACAAGCTTCCTAGGAAAAAGTAGGGCATCCAGGACAAATGGCAGATTCTGGGTCTGTACAAGACCTCAGATTTTTAGCTTGGGGCAGGGAACCATTGGATGTGCTGAGAGAGAAGGATAGGGGCTCCTCAGAAGAACACAGGCTCAGTTCTTTCTCGTTCACTGCTCCTCACAGTCCTGGTCCCTCCTGTATCCTGTGCTCCAGCTACACAGCTGTGAAAAGAACCTTAAATCCATTTAGTACTCCAAATATCTGGAGCAACCGATTACATTCTTTCAGGCAGCAGGCTTGCCTACATAAAACACCTCAAACAAATCTTGCAAGCCTAATTTTTGTTTTTAATGCTATCAGGCTCATAATAGAGCCTTAACTCTGTAGGGCTCACGTGACTTTTTTTTCTCTCTCTCTTTAAGGGATAACATTTTCCTAAATCCTCCATGAATAGCTCAGAAAAGATTTTCAAAGGCATATGTCAAATGAAAGAGTTGACCTCCTCACCCTAGCCTGTTACTGTTGTCTTTAAATACTAGAATCTGGGGGCCAGTTATTCTTCATG